ATTTGCAGGCAGCCATGCTAGAGAAGGATTAGGTGTACAGTCTCTCAGTGAGCAGTCACAGAGAATGAGCAGTGGAAATTATTGAACCAAAACTCAGTGAGGTAAAAGTCTTCTGGGTATTTTAAGGGGTTGGCTTCTTGGACAAAAGTTTTGAAACCAGAAATTTTCTCACTGTGGTTGGAAAAAATGAGAGTCCCATAGAATGAACTAAGTATGAAACTTTTCCCAGTCATGTCAGCATGTCATTGTGAGTTTGTGACCTAGACTTTGCCCCTTGGTAAATAGTGCTCTATACCATACTTTACACCATGTGGAATTTCAGTGTCATAGTAAATGATGATCACATTTACATGTGATGATTCCTTAGTCAGGATAGTATGTTTCTGTGTGACTGTCTCATATGCCCTAACATTTCTTGAGAACTTTGTCACAAATGCCACACAGATTTTGTTCCTGTACATCTCTCTTGTCACATCTGAGAAAAACTGAAGACCTTTTGGACCTTCCAAAATGATCAGTCCCACCCAGGTCCAGCTGAAGTGAAGCATCAAGGAAACCATAGCAAAAGTGAGAGATGTATCCTTTGGAGCTACCTGATAGAAGGAAACTGTCCATTGTTCCTTAGCATAGTGGTTAAAGAACCAAATGTAACCTAAAAGGAAAGAAAATAGGAAGGAATATAAGTAAGAACATGAAATCCAAGCACACCCTCATGCCTAGAGAATACTAAGTAAAAACTGGAAGGAGTAGGAGGAGACACCTATTTATACAGTCTTTCTAATTATCTCATTTTTAGGAAACATTTTTGATTTCTTCTCTCCCTATTTTTTGCTGTAGACAAGGAAATTGTGAGCAACACACCAAGTCATTGCATACTTATACATTCAAATGACAAACTGGTCAAGATGTTTTTTTATCCAGGATCCTTCTTCCACCCCGATTAGGCACCTAATAATGTCACCACCAAGACATGGTTTCATCTTTCCATGTCTCACTCATCCTCACCTGTGGAAACTTGTACAGCTCCAGCAGGGTTCCGATTTGCACAGAATATCCATATAATGTTCCTGTTAACACTGCTACAGACTTGCTCTCTCTCCCACAGGAGTAATTAGGGGTCTCATCCCATCCTGTGAGCAAAATGACAGAACTCTCCAGTACCCTCCAGTGACCATGAAGGTAATTATGGAACTCATACCCCAGAGATATGTTGGGTAGAAGCTGCGGATTCTTGATGATCTCTTCTATGGCAAATGTGAAGGCCACAACATTGTGGTAGTGGTTGGGTGTATACCTGCATAGAGAGAATACAGGTCTTTATAGTAAATGCAATCTATGGTTATATTGCAATCCAGTACAATAGTATTTATGAATGGAATGCTCATGTTCCTCCCCTTATTCATGTTTTAAGTTCTGATGCAAAAATGTAAGATTACTAGTGGGTATTTTTGAGGAGGTGTAATCAGGTTTTGGTGAGAACTTGATGTGATTTCTCATCATTGCCTCACAAGATCTCAGGACAATCACTTCATGGTTCTTCCATGTGAGGACACAATGGACAGACAGCCACTGATAAACTAGAAGGCAGGTGCTTTTTCATTTTCTGTGCCACATGTATTAAATACTGAGAATTATTGCTTTAAACACTCAGTTGCTGGTATATTTTATACAGCAGAAAGAATTCAGTCAATATCCTAAGGTTAAGCAACCAGAAAAATAATTCCATCTTTGAATAACTGGCCTCCATAAAGTCTTAGATTATATAGTTAAACAAGTCATACTTAAACACTTCTTATTATAACAATGATATGCATGAAGGTGGAAATACCAATGAAAATAATGTTCAATGGAAGATCTGAGACAAATCAAGAAACACATCTGTGGATGATTATGGTGCAGCAAAATGCTGCAATTGAATTTCCTAAACCTTTCACTCATCACAGTTATGCATCTGAAATTCTGGGCAACACGGTCAAAGGAGGGGACATCAAATCCCAAGGATAAGCTATACTACAAAGCTCCAGTGATAAAAGCAGCATGGTATTGGCGAAACTAGACTTGTAGATCAAAGGAACAGAATAGAATATGCAGAAACAACTCCAGGCACACTCAATTATGTTATCTTTGACAGGGGTTAAATCCCTTCCCTGGATGAAGGACAGTCTCTTTAGTAAATGGTTCTCGATGACCTGACTATATACATGCTAATGGGGGAACCTAAACTCATATCTCTTACCATGTACAAAATTATAATGAAATGGAGCAAAGATCTCAACATTAGAAGTGAAATCATCCACTGGAAGACAAAATAGCTCAAACACTTGAAGACATAGGTGTGGGCAAAGATGTTCTCTGAAAAATCCCAGTTGCACAAATAATATTACCAAGTAGCAACAAATAGGATTATATCCAATTGAAAAGCTCTTCACAAGAAAGTAAATCACTATAGGAGTGGAGAGACAACCTACAGAAAGGGAAAGATTTTTGACAGCTACTCTTCAAATGTACAGCATAATACTAACATAGAGAGTATGTAAAGAACTTCAAAAATAAACCCTTAAATTTAACAGACTCATTCAAAAAACGGGCATCTGAAATGAATAGACACTTCTCAGATAAAGAAATACAAACAGCCAATAAATACATGAAAAAAATAGTCAATATCACTGACCACTATGGAAATGCAAATTAAAACAACATACTACATTTGGGGAAGCCTCTCAGGAAAAAGGAACCCATCTTCAGTGTTGGTGGCAGTGTAAGCTGGAACAATCCCTAGGTGAATCAGTGTGGAGTTTCCTCAAATTCTAAAAGTAAAAATTTCATTTGACTGAGCTATTCCCTTTCTTGGTGTCTTCTCAGAAGAGTTAACATCTTATACTTATGGTTATAGTCACATAATTCATAATTGCTAAATTTTGGGAACAGCATCTATGTCTGTCAACAGAAACATAGACAAAAGGAAATGTGGTATTCATACACAATGGAGACCTACTCTATTGGAAAGAAAGGTAAACCTGAGTCATTGGTAGGAAAATGGATTCAGCTTGAGAAAATGATGTTAAGTGAATTAAATCAGATAAATGAGCTTAAAAATCACATACTTTATCTTATGTCAAAAATTCTACATATAAATAATGTGTGAAACAAAAGCCAGATAATAGGAAATCAGAGATAAAGAGAGAGAGGGAGGGAGGGAGAGAAAAGCTATTCTCTGTAAATCTAGCACGGACAATATATGTAAGAGAATAGCTTGTCTTGACTTGGTACAATTGTCTTATGTGTTTTATATGTTTTTCTTCCTTAGTCTCGTTGTTACTTAGCATAAATAATAATGAGCTTTATATGGACTTAGAAGATAAATAAACAAATCTGATGCTCAGAAAATAAAATGGACTGGGAAAAGGGAAGAAGAAAGAATCGAGGTGTGTCATGTGTGTACCAATTCCCTACAATCAATGTACTAATAAAATTAAAATTGAAATAAAACCTATTTGATTTTGCATTAAAAATAAAATTAAA